GTCCTTGGGTACGCCTTTTCCATAGGAATCCACAGATAGCACAAGTTTCTTATAATGGTTAGGCCATCATTTTTTTACATCAATAATATCTTTAGTTTTGGGCCTTCTAATTTCAAATTTTTCACTTGCTTCAGCTATAAGATTTTCATACTCTGTTGGTGTGTAAATCCGATCATTTTTTCGAATGTCGCTTTGCTGTTCCAAACATTCTATCGTTTGGCAAGAATGAGTGACCTCTTTTTGGTATGTAATATTGTATCTCATTTATATTGCTATCTAGTTCAGCTACCAGTGATAAAAGTATTCGGATCATGGCATGATTTCTGTTTGGCCTGCACAACCATCAGATAATAGGTGCAGTTCTTTGGCTTTGTTGCCAAAGGTACATACTTCGTTTGGATATGCTCACGTACTTTTGTTAATGTATCTCCAGGTTATGCGTTGCATCGTGTTCACTGAGATTTACCTCTGTGATCTATAGGCTGCTCTTTTTTTTTAAATAAAATGCATAAACGTCTAACTTGTTTCATAGAAATTCCATGCATACAGCAAAAAGCTTTCTTGCGTACTTTTCTCATCACACCTTCAATCTTAATGTGATAGATAAAATGAAATTCTTTTTTCTTAGGTTCTTTAGATCTAAACCATCTTCTCTCTATTTCCTTCTTTTCAATCAATGAATGCAAGTATGTATCTTGGGCATTTTTACAATCATATTTGTTAACAAACTGAATTGTACTTTCTATAAAATGTTCAGATACAAGCTCCATACACTTTGAATTACATCTGTAAATAAATAGAATTATTGAGGTAATATTATAATAATTATATATCAAGATGTTTTACCTCCAATTATTGGTGGTAAAACATGAGTAAATAAGCATAGATTTGAGAACAAATATAGTCATACTCTAAAGAACAAAAAACTAAGTTGCAAGAAGCACCCGTTTGACTTGGTGCCACATCATTTCTTTTGTGGTTTTTATATGCTTCTCCAGCAATTTTGGCTTTTTTTATTTTTTCGTGTTTATAATTTCCATTGTTTCTTATACCAGACACTCTTTTTTTAGATCTATATGCATTTTCAGCAAGTTCGCCATTTTCCATTTTTGTTACAAATAAAGTGACATTACGTCACTACAGTTGCGCTTCGTTTCACTTGAAAAAGGCATAAGTCCGGGACTTGTGCCATTTTCAAACAGACTTTAATTTTCATTTGCATTTAAAGTTGACTTGTGGCATATGAAAATGTTTCTCCTTCAAATGGAATATGTACAACACTTGAATAAATAAAATTGCATTAAAAAGTGAAATTTGAAAAAAGTGTGACTTGTGCCCTTTTCGAAATGACGGGTTCAATTGTTCTAGATAATTAGCAACTTTTCCAGCATCTATAGAAGCATCAACATCTAAAAAATTAATTTCTTGAACAATTGATGGTTGGAATTCCTAAAAAAATAATAAATAATACTATTGAAATGCAAGTTAGTAAACTTTATGCTTCATTCAGAATTTTTATCAATTTGTACATAAAATGTTAGTCACAGTTGCTAGCTAAAGTTTAAATAATAATTTTAATTGTATATTAGTATTAGCAAAAACACAATAGTACAATACTAACCAAAGAACAATTGTTTTCAGTTGTATTAACTGATATATCCTCAGCTATGCGTAGATAGTTTAATAAATACGCATCACTAGGAATAGCCTGACGATTAAATGGATAAATTCCACATGACTTGAACCCAGATGTAGTGTTGCTAGAAGTCGTTGCTTTTTCCCAAGCTGAAGCAAATATCCCTGCAAACTTAGTAATAATTCCTGGAAACTGACCCATCAGATCTTGTGCTGTAGAGTGATAATAATCCTTCAGTGGCTTGAATAAGGTGCGGTCGCATGGTTGAAGCCAGTTTGATGTGTGTGAAGGCATTTCAACTATATGTATCTGGTTCTGGATAGCAACATCAATTAGCTCAATAAAGTTGTGAGAATCATGCCCATCCAGAATCAATAATTGAGGACCTTTTTCGAAAAATGTCTTGGTAAACCGTAGTTTTGCTAGGCTTTGTTTAGTCCAAACACTATCGGACCAGCTCCAATTTGTTCTGGGAGGCACGAACTCAGTGTAAAAACCCTATAAAGACCTGGATTTCTTTGACTCTTGATTTCCACTCGTACGACTGGAGGTTTTTTGTGCCTTTTCGTGCAACCACTTTTCTTGGTTTTATGTCAAGTTGTAGACCAGTTTCATCCATATTCCATATGGATTCTGGTTTAATGTGAAAATCATTTTTCACCATGAAGTCATTCAAAGCATTAAAGTACTTTGACACTTTATCCATACACTGATGTTGAACTGAAGCTGTACCCTCATGTTGTTGCAGAGTAAATTTGTGTTCATGCCGGTGTTTAACCCACCACGGGTTGCTTGGAAGTCCGTTCTTGAAGTTGAATTTATGTTTTGCAGCAAGTTTCCCAGCATAATTCAGGAACTGTGACTTTTCAAAACCTTCCCCTTACTTTGCTTTATTGCTGGCATAATCATTAAGTTTTTCTTCCAAAGCAAAAGGTAGGGTAGGTTTTCTTCCTGGCTTTGCTCCAATAACAACTTCCTGACTTTCCAGAAAGTCTTTCTCTCAGTGTTGTATGCGACACATTGTACAATATTGCTGCTTATGCACTGAAAATCTGATCTGACATGCTTATTTGCACTCATCATATTTTCTTCACTCCATTTCAGGAATTTGCTCTGTTTCTTAACAGTGACTGATTGATCAATGGAATGATTGGAACCATTGATACGAGTTAAAGAAACATTAATTGTTGGCAGCTGTTTCATTTGACAAATGTCAATAACTACCAGATACTACTACCAGATGTTGAAGGAGTTATACCATCATGAAGATGAGTTGTATTATAAAATACTGTAGCCTCTGTTACAGAAGCAATCTTTCCAATCAATATCCGGTGAAATCTTGGTGATAATCTACATCCCTCACCTCTTGTTTTGACCATGTTTTTTTTCAAGTCAATACCTAGATAAATTAAATTGCAGTATGAATGTCATATTAATTTAATAAAGTGCTCCAAAATTACAAGAGCTGCAAATATTAACACGTGGTGGAAACCATATGTTAGTAATTGTAACCTAAACCAAACCCTAGAAATTCGCAGTACTTAATTTACAATGAAGTAAATAAGCATTTAGCTAAGTAATTACATAAGTCTATTAAAGAAAAATAAAAACATTTATTATGCACAAAATGAGTTTTGGACCTTTTGAACCTAAAGTTTTGGACCTAATGTTTTAGTTATTTTAATAACTAAAACATTAGTTCTTAAATTGAAAATAAATAAAACAATCGTAAATAAAATATGCATTATTTCTAAACATTAAAAAATTATTTCTAAAAAAAACACAGCATAAAATGATAAAATTCCAAATTCTTTCTTACCAATAATTATTAGGAAAAGAAAATGCAATAGCAGACAAAGTTTACTTATTTGCGATACTTTCTTTGTTCTTTATAATTTATTTATTCTATTGCTAATTTATTTGGTTTTGATGAACATGAGCTTTTAATACAACTACTCAACGCAGTTGCTATAGCAATTTATTTTTTAATTTTTTAAAAAATAAATTGCTATGGCAACTTATTTTTTAAAAAACAAAACTTTTCTTAATATTTTTTAAAATGAAGAAAAATTTAACTTTTAAATTAAAAACTATTAACTTTAAAAACAACTTACTTTTACTTGCATTTAAATCATTTAGCAAAATTGTATTTGCTTTTTAGAAAAATTGCACTAACACAATATTGCTAAAATTGTGTACATCTTTAGTTATGTTGGTTTTTCAATAGTTTGGTGTTTTTGGCACTTGCTACAGGTGCCATTCAACCCCAAAAAAAAAGTTGTTTTTTTTTGCTAAATTTTGTTATTTAATTTATGTATATAAAGTTAAATTTATAAAATATTGATAATTACTCAAAAAAAAATTTTCAGGGGTTTTCTTGTTACTTATAAGAAGGTATTCAGCTTTTGATATAAAAAGCAAGGAAAGGAGACAAAGAAAATTTGTAAAAATGTATAACTGTATATAATGTATATGTATATATAACTGTATATATAACTGTATAAAATGTATACTGTATATAACATAAAAGCTATACTTTGTATAGCTTTTATGTTATATACAGTACCATGCCTTTCCCTCCAAAAAAAATAAAAAACAAAAATACTTGTCATTATTTAAAAAAAGTGTAGTCTGGTATGGTAGTCGAAAATTTTTTTCCATAAACTGTAGTTTCATAGAGAATGCTAATAAACAAGAACAGAATAAGTTTAAAAACTTCAATAAAGTTTTTTTTTTTTATAATAGATTCCTCGCCCAAACCAAATCCTCAGTCAATGTAGCGGCACTTCCTTGTAGCAGCAGCCTATAAGATAGTTGGTGTAACAGCACTTCCTTGTAGTAGCAACACTCCACACATGTTTAACAGTAAAAAAGCAACACTCCCTCCATGTTTTACCCATTTATCAGTCCATCTAGCAACACTCTGCGCATGTTTTAAAAATATGTTTTAAAAAACAAACAATAAAAGCCCTATTAATTAAAAAAGTTTCTAGTCATTATTATTGCGGTTTTTTAAAAAACTTATTTTACTTTCGCATTATTTTTATTGTTTTAACTTTTAGAAGACATACATATATTATATATAATAAATATATACATATATTATAAATTATTATACATAATGTAATATATATATATATATATATATATATATATATATATATATATATATATATATATATATATATATATATATATATATATATATATATATATATTTATATATATATGTAATGTCTAATATATGTAATATATAATATATGTATATATTTATTATATATAATATATTTTTATATTTATAGGTGTATGATGAATTTAAATTATTATTTGAAACTTTTTTAGTTTTAATTTAATTTTTTTTTAGATCCATATAAACCAATAATTTCTGTAAGCTATAGTGGAAAGCCTCAGAAAGGTAGATCAATTAAAATTAAATGTTTGGTGGATTCTTCTCCTTCATCCACAATTGAATGGTACTCAGGTGATAGCTTGCTGCTAGTTTGTAAAAGTTCAAAGAAACCATATACTGATTTGCAGATACCATGTGAATATACTATACAAGATTTTAACAGCAATACAAATTTTACATGCATTGCTAAAAATGCAGCAGGAAATTCATCTCAAAGTTTGATAATTTATGTTTTAGGTATGTGTTTTACTTCTTTTAAAGTTTTGTTATAAAATTATTTTTGTAATTATACTTGCAGTTTGCGCCAGTTTTAAGTTTTTTTATACCAAAAAAGTAAAAACTTCAATATTCAAAAAAGTAAAAACTTCAATAAAAAGTAAAAAATTCAATATGTGCATTAATGTTTATGGATTTTACTTTGATAAAACATCTACAAATACTAGGAATAAAAAAAAACAACACAAATTCAGGAATTATATACAGGAATAAGTTCTTCAAGAAATTTGCAGATCAATGAGTATGTGACTGAGCCTTAAAATAAATAATTTACATAAAAATTTCACTCATGATAAAAATAAAAAAAACTGTTTTAGGGGAGACCGAGATTAGTTGGAATATTTTTTTTAATTACTGAACTTATGGCCAAAATGCAAGTATTGAAAAAAAAAATTATTTTTTAAACACTACTTAATTAAGCACACAGTATTCACTAATAATGATTAAATTAAGTTATGTAGTTTTTAATATATCTTCGATTAGAGAGCACCAATAAAGTGTTCCAACAAACCCTGCCATTATGGCTACATGGAACAGACAATGGTGATAGTTGAAAGTATAAAATACTGCATGTTTACTAATAACAAATGCACTTTTACATAATACAAGTATATATATATATATATATATATATATATATATATATATATATATATATATATATATATATATATATATATATATATATATATATATATATATATATATCCATCTTAATTTCTTTTGCTACTTTGATTTTGACTAGAGTTAAAAACCAATCTTTTCTTTTTGTTAATTCAATAAATATTAAAAATCAAAATTAATGAAGAACAAACTACAGTCAACAACTTGTGGAAATAAAAAAGTTTTTTTAACATTGGTAAATAAAAGTTTTTAACATTGGTGAATAAAGAAAAGTTTTTAACGTTGGTAAATAGTAAAAGTTTTTAAAATTTACTTTTAATGTGTTTTTACTTGATCAACTAGAAAATGAGAAATTTTTTCATGTGCAAATACTTTATTGTTTAGTTTAAAGAAAGCATCTATTTGAAACAATGAATAATATTATTAGAAAATTAAAATCATTTTTCGGAGGAGGATTATTATTATTTTAGGGTTCAAAATTTATATTATTATTATAAAATATTTTTGGGGTTAATATTTTATGACTGGTCTTTTTTAGTTCCTCCTCTTATCTCACCATCAAAAGCAGAATCACAAAGATTTGAATGCACTGTTACTCAAGGAAATCCCTTGCCATTTATTTATTGGGAGCAAAAAGTCATAAGTTGCAAAAACTGCGAAAGCCAATGGGTTAATTTCTCATCAGAAAATGTAAAGGTATGACTTTGTTTAGAAAATGATTGGTTAGAGTATTGGTTTTTTTTATTGTAGATAGTTACAATCCTATAAAATGTCACAAAGTTTAAAATACATGGAATTAAAAATACGCAGACAAATATAAAAACATGAAATAATTAAGTTCAAGATTTATCAAACGATATTATTAAACCAGTGCAATTATTCTTGTATAAGTAATAAAATAAAGAGCTTGTCTAATCCAGTTTAAATTATTTAATCATTAAGAAACAAGTGAAAAAGAAGTACATTTAAAAAAAAATAATTCAACTATCTTTTCTTGTACTCTCTATCTACTTAATGTAGAGTTAAAAGCTAAATTTATATATATATATATATATATATATATATATATATATATATATATATATATATATATATATATATATATATATATTATATATATATATATATATATATATATATATATATATATATATATATATATATATATATATATATATATATATATATATATATATATATATATATATATATATATATATATATATGAAAAGCAAATAAAAAGAATTTAATGACGCCAAAAATCACGCCGTGCTTATGCGTCGCGCAGTTTTTATTCATCACAAGGCCTGATATATATATATATATATATATATATATATATATATATATCAGGCCTTGTGATGAATAAAAACTGCGCGACGCATAAGCACGGCGTAATTTTTGACGTCATTAAATTCTTTTTATTTGCTTTTCATATTTATCGATGTTAACTGCACCAATTTACTTAATTACCGCAAAACTACTTTAAATCATTCATGTAGAAATGTTATTATTTAAAAATGTTTTGGAATGTTTCGTTTTTTAAAATGTAAAAACATTGGTTTATTTTCTTGATGTTTGATGCGTTTTGTCTACTAAACGAATAAAAAACATTATAACTAAACATTTAAAAAAGATTATAGAATATGCTAATATTTGATTTTCTCAAATATGTATTTAAAGTTTTTCAAATAATTATTTTTTCTTTTTAAAAAGTCAGCGATTAATAAACTGGAAATTTTAATATTGTACTATTAAAAACTGCAATAGCTAATATTTTTACTAGCGATTTTATATAATATTTTTTTATTTATTTATTTTTATTTATTTTCATAAAGCACAATCACTCATATTACTAAAAAACTTTAACGAAGGTTTTGTATAGATTTTTAATGTTTACAAGGAATTTTATTTTTGGTAAAATAAAATAAAATGTTAGAATAAAAATCTTGCAGGTATAAAAGACATATTGCAGCGAAAAAATTATTCTTAAAAATTATTATTAAAAATTATTTGAAAAACTATTGACGTTCTATTTTTCAGCAGCTGTTCTTAAGCACGCTTCGTTGAGTTTCGGTAACTTTTAACAAAAAAGCGATTGTTATTAAGTAATTTTTTTCGAGTTACTTTTTACAAATATTTTAATAGCTGTACTTTTTTATTGAATCAAGTAGAATATGTTTTAATATTAATCCTTTTATTTTTTTTTATTTGCGCTTACCAATTTTTAAAATGTTTCCTTGAAATTACTCTTAAATACTTTAAGAGTAAATACGTCTAACAGTTAATAAATATTTTTAAATCTATGGAATAATTTTAAAACCTAACAAACCCCCGTAAAATAATTATTTAAGTTAAAAATCTAAAACTAAAAGAAAGTATTTTTGTTCAATTTTATTGATAACTTTGCTATTGCTGAATAATTTTATTAAAATGTTAGCTTAAAAAAATTTAAACTTTTTTTTTAATCTGAATTTTCTCTACTTATAAATAATGAGCATATTTAATTTTTTTGTGATTCAAACTTTTTTATCAGCTGTGTGCGGTTTTTAAAATACTTTAATAAATGTTAAAATAATCGTAAATTACTTCATTAAAATTCCGCTAAAAATATCTTTAAATATACTCAAACAAAAATTTTTTTGCTCGATGCAAATAGCCCTAGCTACACGCAAAATCGCTCTTGGACGACGTAAAATTCACATCGCCCGACGGTTTATCACAAGGCCTGATATATATATATATATATATATATATATATATATATATATATATATATATATATATATATATATATATATATATATATATATATATATATATATATATAGATCACCTTTCTGTAGATTTTAAATCATTCATCGTTTACAAATTTATTTTTGTTATCCTGTAATCCAGGACATTTAACACATATTATATTGATGAAACAGTGTTTAATAAAAAATTTTTGTCAAGTAATTTTCTACTAATTTATAATTGCTCTGTTCTTTTAAGAACATTGAGCACTCTATTTTGTCGAATACATTTTAAAATTGTATATATATATATATATATATATATATATATATATATATATATATATGTATATATATATACCTATATATATATATATATATATATATATATATATATATATATATATATATATATATATATATATTATATATATACATACATATATATATATATATACATATATATATATATATATATATATATATATATATATATATATATATATATATATATATATATATATATATATATAAATATATATATATATACATACATACATATATATATATATATATATATATATATATATATATATATATATATATATATATATATATATATATATATATATATATATATATATCAGGCCTTGTTAAGAAGCGTTACGCAGCTCGCATTTTGCCTGCGAAAAGGCGATTTGCCTACGGGTTCAGCAGTTATGCGTTACGCAAAAACTTTTATCTTTTAAAATATTTAAATTATCTTTTTATGTGACGTTTTTTCAGAAGAAAATAAAGTCGTAAGTAAAAGCATTTAACCGCAATTGTAAACTAATAGATTTTTTGTTAAAGAAAAATTTGTTTAATTATTTTTATTGTTGTTGTTGTTAAAAATTAGTTAAAAAAAAATAAGTGTTTTAAGTTTAAACTTTATATCATATTTAATATTAAGTTTTATATTTCATAAGTTTAAAAACAATCAAATTTAAAAAAAGAAATATTTTCAATTTATTTTATTAAATGTAAATATTTTTTTATTAATTATAGTTTTTAGTAAATAAATTATTAAATTTAATTAAAATTCTTTCATTTAATTTTAAAACAGAGCATTTTTAAAATTTTTAAATTTTAAAATGCTCCTTTTTTTTTATAAAATTTCTAAAGTAAAAAAAAATTTAATAAATTTAATTTAAGTTACTTTAAAATGTTCGTATTACATATAACTTTGTTTTAATTTTAGTTAAGTTTCAGGTAAGTTCCAAATACTGGTCTGAATAATGCGCTTAACATAAGTGCATTATTTTCCAGTTTTTATTTTTCCATTATTTTACAGTTTCATTCATTATTTACATAAGCGCATTATTCATTTTATAACTACAAGTTAATAAATGACGTCAATATTTTTAAACTCGAGTTATAAATGTTATGTTTGGGTTTTCCCTTTGCCGAAGAATTTTTTTTATAAAACAAACCAAGGATGTATTAATAATACGTCCTTGAACAAACCAAAATTTAAACCTATTAAAAATAACGCGACCAGTAAATAAACTCTTTAAAAGCCCAACTTATCGTTATTTTATTTTAAAAACAAAACTAGTACTTGAGCTATAAATATAAGATACATAAATTTCAAAATTATAATGATATTTGTTAAAAACAAATTCTGCTTATAACATCTTAAAACCGAAAACACTATTTTTTTTTTGGATTGAGTAAAAAAATATTAGGTTTCACTGTACATAAAAATAAAATATTTTAATGGAAATAAAAAAAAAACAAAGCCGAAAAAGCAGTAAATTTCGTTTCTTTATTTTATAAAGAAACGAAATTTACTGCTTTTTTCAACATTTATTTTATCAAAACCAGTTAGTGCAAACGTTTTTTTTAAAAGGGGAAAACCCACTCTATGCGTTTAGTTATAAGTAAATTTAAATCCCTTTAAGAAAATCAACCATAAACAAGTGTTAAATTTAAATTATTTTAAAAAAAATATTTTAAAAAAAACAACCTTAAAACAAATGTTTAAAAGCAAAAATATTAAGTTTAAATAAGTATAAGACTTTAATACAAGAAGACTTTTTTTTAATCAACATTGAAATTTTTTTTTTTTCTATAACAACATTATTCAATTTAAAGCTATTTCGTTTCAAAGACTAACAATAGTTTTTAATGTCATTTTAAATTTAATTACAATGAAGTAAAAATGCATTTTACGTAATTTAACTTTTAACAATATAAATATCTTTATTGAGTAAAGTTACATTTATTCACGTTTCGCTTTTCCGTTACGCAGCGAAATCTCGTAACAAGGCCTGATATATATATATATATGTATATATATGTATATATATATATATATATATATATATATATATATATTATATATATATATATATATATATATATATATATATATGTATATATATATATATATATATATATATATATATATATATATATATATATATATATATTATATATATATATATATATATATATATATATATATATATATATATATATATATGTATATATATATATATATATATATATATAGTGGTGTACACTGGACTTTTAGATGTTTGAGTTTTGACACTTACAGGTATTGTGCAAACTCCAAACTTTTGTATGTTCATGCTTATGTCAAATGAGAATGTTTTGCAAAGAGTTGCGGTAATAAGAGCTTGGGGACAAAAAAAAAAAAAAACTAAGTAAAAATTATTCGTTTCAAAAAACGTTTTACGAAGAGTTTTTCCAAACAATTTTTTTTTAATTGCGTTTTTTTTGAAATACGTCATAAGCATATTAAGGCATTTTGAAAAACAGTTGCTGCATATATTTATAGTAAAAAAGTAAACGTAGCAAAATAAACTTTTAATTGTCAAAAGTTTTATCTAGCTACGGGCTTTTTTTATTTTTTTGCCTCCACAGCAGCATCTTCTGTAGTAGCAGGGCTGTCTAGTTAAGTTTTTTCTTTATTAAATTTCAGACAACTTTTTTTCCGCAGCTTATTAGGACTAATTACTTGAGCACATTAATAACATGTGTCTCAATTATCATAGATACGCAACAAATTTTTTCTCCTGGTGATGTTTTTTTTTTTTTTGTAATGTTTTATGAAGTTTTAGCTTTCTTAAAATCTTTTCTTTTGTGAGTGCATATTATCGTTACGTTACATATGTTTGTATAAAATCTTTATAAAACTTCGAAAATATTTTGTATTTTAAAATAATAAAAAAAATTTAAAAAAATAGCCGCCATTAATAGGAGTCAAACCTCTAGTTCCTTGTTCAGAAGTTCGCCGCCTTATCCACTTGAGCTACACCGGCATATCATATGGCGTAGATTTTATAATAATGTAGTAATTTTTTTGAGGAAAAAAATGTTAGATCAAAATTAAGGAGAGCTTGACGCAATGTAATTTTCAAGTGAAAATCAAACTGTAAAACATGATAAATGTTTCAGTATGTTTTAACATATGCTTTAACATTCCTTAGTTTAAAGTTTACGTACGTTAGATATTCATTCACGTTTTCTTATAGTGCTGCGACTCTTTCTTGCCAATACCTCTGTTGCAATGGCTGCCAAGAGTTTCGTGTCAAATACGCTCCAAGGGACACTACTACTACTACTATTAAAACTATTAAGTTTGGCAATATTATATAGATTTAAAAAATTATATTCATTTTGAAAAAATTTTAACTTATCAAAATTATCATAAAAAAACATAAAAATGCATTTTTTTGGTTTTTCATAAAACCAAAAAAAACAAGTTTTTCCAAAATGAATATTATTTTTGAAATTTTTATATCATTTCACTTCATTTGAGTACCAGGTTGACATATTTTTGAAAAAAATTTTTTTTGAAAATATTAGGGACCCATTAAATATTTGAGGGTCTTGAGGGACCCCTTAAAATTTTTTTACTCAAAAAAATTTTAAACCTAGTGTTTTTGTGTTAGATAGAACACATTTAGGGGGTCGTAGCAGGTTTTTCTCAAAAAAGTTGTTTTAAGGGCCACCCTAATATGTATATATATATATATATATATATATATATATATATATATATATATATATATATATATATATATATATATATATATTTATGTATAACCTATCAATGAAAAAACAGATTTTTATGATCTAAAGTCAGTGAAAACATATTGGTTTTCTTAGATTACTTAAAGCTAAGCAAATAATAATAATAGTTTCATCAAATAGTTTCAACATTGTAAGCAGAAACTCTGTTGCTGAAATTTGAAATGCCTTTGGTCTTCTAATAACTTGTTCAACCAATATATTTATTTATTTTTAGCCAAAAAACTAAAAAAAAATGTCATTGTCATTTGAGCTGCACCTTTCCAACCAGGGGAACTGTGTAGCAGATAAAACATTTAATACATTCAGTAATAATATTAATTTCTTTATTGTATATTATGCAACAGTATTTTGGAATGCAATCTAAATAGTTCTTGTGATTTGTAATTTCTTTATCTGAAATTTAGCCTCTGCAAGCTTTAGAAATTATTGAAAGAAATTATTTATGAATTTGGAGTTAAAGATGCTAATGTTTTTATAGTGTTGTGATGTTTGTATTCACTCCATGTTCTAAATTTTTGGATGTTTCAATAAAAAAAACTGTTATATCTAAAATTTAGCGCAAGTCTGAATAATTTAATTTTTTAAATCTGTCTGGCATTGTCTGTCTCATAACATATTTACTTGGAACAAAAACCATGTGCTTTAAAAGTGAGCTAGAAGCTTTTGCCCATGTAGAATTTTGCACTGGCTTATCCTAAAGATATATTACACCTGTCAGCAAGATCAGTTGTCAGTAATTCAAGTCTTCATTAGCATCATTAAAAATTTATCTTTTGCTGCATTACTTTTATTTTAGTCCTAATAGTTTTTTAAAATTTCAAAAGTTTTTTAAGATCAGTTTATTATTTCAGTAGATGTCTTTTTAACATCACTTTATCTTCTTTTAATTAATGGTGATATTGCACTTTGTAACTCATGAATCACACTGACAGATGAAAGGCCAGTATAAAAGTCCCAAGATCTATCATTTAATAAATTTTCGTATGCAAGTAAATTGGAATAACATTTGTTTGGATTATGTTTATATACACATTTGTCTGGTTTCATAGTAATAACTAATGCTTTTACATATAAATCTTTATTTTTAACACTAAATTCATCATGATCTGATGGATCATTTTTTGAAAAATTTGTATTATTTACATTTAATAATATAATTCTTTGAGCTTTGTAGCCTAAGATTAACAAAGAATATTGATTTTTAAACGATAGTGCTCTGTTAGGAAAATTGTCTGAACATACTCTCATTTTATACTTTATGGTAAATAATTTACTTTGAAGCGATAATGTAGAAGTTGAACGGTTAACTAGTTTTCTCCATTTTTCTCTGCGGTTGTTTATATATTGAGCTGCGGTTGTTTATATATTGTTATTTATCTCTGTGTATGTTGATAATGTATAACAAATGCTTACTCATATGGTAGTTTGCAGTTTCATAAGTTAGAGCTTGGTTTAACATTTTGTATCATACATAAATCATCTTTCCATATTCATTGATTGTATTCGTTATTTTTACAATCAATGACAGCACATGTTTTTGATCTTTTGAAACTTCTATATGGTATAGGTTCCGTATTTACATTGTTTTCCATTATAAACTTCTATGACTTCAACCGTTGAAATGTTTCTTTACGTTTTTACTGCTTTTTACTTTACCATTTCTGCGTGCACATAAATTTTATATCGGAACTATGAAAAAGTGTATTGAATTATGAACAAATATGCTAGTTTTAATTTAAAAAAATAACCTTACTTGCAATTTGCAACCTTACTTTGCAGTTTTGCAATTATCAATTAAAAAATTGTAATTATATTATATTGTTATCATGACGATGATAATTTTGTATTTAGGTTGTGCCTCCTACTTATGAACCTTCTTCTCAAAGTGCTTTAATTTTTGAAAACTCCTCTAAAGATTTTGGATCTATACGATGTCATGCCTATAATTCTGAAGGAAATTCTTCTGCTGTTATTTCTTTAAATTATAGTGCTGGGAAAGGTAATTTTATTTTGATTTGTTGTTTTCTTTTTTTATGATAAGTTGCTCAGCTCTTGTTTTTCAAATGTCAAGTAAAACAACTATTAAATAATCTCAACTGTGACAACTTTTCAGCTACGTGTATGATAATCTCTTCTAAGCGGCATGTATGATAATATCTTCTCAAGGCAACTCTTCTCTATGCAGGATGTATGACCTCTTGCTAATATAGACTTATTATGTTTTAGATTTTTAAAATAGAACACAATGTTTTCATTAGAAAGTTGGTTAAACTCATTTAAAGCTCAAGATTAAAATCTCAAAATCACATCCACTTTGAAATTACTCACCATACCACATTCGCTTTGAAAAAGATAAAGTTTATGATAACTTGCAAAATGTCAATGAATCAATTTTTTGAAAAACTGGTTTTTGAAGCTGGTGTTTTTTACTAAAAAAAAAACAGCTTATGAACTTCAGATTTTTATAGATTATAAACTTAAAAAAAAATTATATGAGTTATATAGATTGAAAATACAGGATTACATTTAAATAACCAATATTATATATTTGCGAACTAATATGTTATGCAAGAGACAAGGTTAATACTAAAATAAAAAGAAAACACTTGGCAACAGTTGAAAAAAGGAGATACATCTACAACAGGGTCTCAAGGTTGTATATTTTTTCTGTAGAGATAATTTATACTACAAAAAATTTATACACTTTTATGAACAAACATGTTACCATTACATTCTTAAATATTTCATATAATTTCTAACATTAAATTAAAATTTACAATTTAATGTTAGAAATTATTTTACAAATATTTATTTATACATTTTGGTATTGTAGCAATATTTAAATGGCAAAATATGTATATATTACAAAGTAAAGAAAATTAATACACTTACTATTGTGTTATCTTATTACTATATGTTATCTAAATCTACTTACTATATGTTATCTAAATCTTTCTTCTATAAAATGTTTCAATTAATTTTTAAACTAAAATAAAAGTCCTTTTTTATAATTCAATTAGTTGAATCTTGTGGTGATTTTATAGTTGTTTTTTTTTTTTAGTTGAATCAATTGCAATTTTCTTTTTGTAAACCTTAAACAAGCAAAATGCTTTATAGAGGCAACTTATAATCTTTTTAAATATAGATTATAAGTTGTAAATGTGACTAAAATTTTTGAAATTTTTATATATGACATTCTTTTGAAGAGATTTTTTTTTTATAATTTTAGGGACCTGTCTGATGTTCTGAGGGTCTTGGAGAACCCCTAAAAATATTTTTTATTCAAACATCCAGTAATTTTTACTATATAGAACACATTTAGGAGGTGCCAGCAAATATTTTCAAAAAAAGTTGTTTAAGGCCATCATTATATATATATATATATATATATATATATATATATATATATATATATATATATATATATATATATATATATATATATATATATATATATATATATATATATATATATATATATATATATATATACATATATATATATTTATATATATATATATATATCCTTTTATCGTAGTCAAAAGAGATTTTTGTGGTAAAAAAAGTCTCTTTTAACAACAATTAAGCGACTTCAACAAAAAGTTATGTAATTGTTGTCCAAAAGTTAAAATAGTTAAAATAATGCGGAAGTACATTAATTAGTGTTTTTATTTTTTTAAAAACATGGGTTGAGTGTTGCTACATAAACTATCTTATAGCCTGTTGCTACAAGGGAGTGTTGCTAGATCAACTATCTTTTAGCCTGCTGCTACGAGGTAGTGCTGCTACATCGACTATCTTATAACTTTCTGCAACAAGAAAGTGCGGGTACATTGACTGAGGGTTTGGTTTGGGCAAGCAATCTAAGCAATCTAAAGAAATTTTATCAAGAAAAATTTTCTTATATTAAATATTACTAAGAAGATAGTACTACCGCGCTTGAAATAGTTTTTCAAAGCTTGCTGATCAGATGTAATTTTTTCACAAAAACAGGTTATTTTCCCTTGAAATTTTCGAAATTTCCCTAAAAATAGCCGATCATTGATAGTTGATCGGCTGTTATTTTGAGCACTAGTACTAGAAGCCTTTCAGTATTTATCATCAGTAGTACTATTGCAAATGTTATTATCTGTTACACATTTACACATATCAAAATAAATGATTATGATGTGTAAAAAGTTATATAATAAAAATATTTGATTGTAGCTTTGTAACTATGAGTTACCATTGTTATGTTATTATAAAAAAAAGTATTAGCTCAAGTTGTCATGTTTTTGTTTATGAAAATAATTTTCATGTCAACAAATTATTTTCATTTTTTAGTTTGATAAAAACAAAAAACTGAAAGAATGGCTCCATAGTTTTTTTGTGTATTTTCTTGCAATTATATAAATGATTGTTGAATCTATCTGTTGATAGATTAACAATGACTTCTTTTTCCTTCATATTGTTCACTATTAATTTGCTTGCTATATATATATATATATATATATATATATATATATATATATATATATATATATATATATATATATATATATATACATATATATATATATATATACATATATATATATATATATATATATATATATATATATATATATATATATATATATATATATATATATATATATATATATATACATACATATATATGCATATATATTGCATATTTTTGTATAAGAATGTATAAAAAAATTCTCTTGTTTTTTAAGTGATCAATATTATGTTAAAAATGCGAATTAGGCAATGCAATATGGGATCTGATGTCAAAAAATCTATTACATGATGCTTTAATCTAACTTTAACTTTGAATTGATAAAGTAGGAATTTATTTCTTTGCCAGCATTTCGATATAATTTCAGTTTTTTTATTTAATAAACTGTTGTCATTGTTTGAAATAATTTCATATTTTTTATTAAGGCATAACTTGCATGATTTTATTGTCAGATTATGCACTTCATATCTTCTAATTATTTTCCAACTAACCACTGGATTTTTAATATTATCTTTTAAGTTCCAAACTTCTTTTGACAGTTCTGTATCGTTTTTTTATATTTGGGGATATTTAATGATTTTAAATGGTTGGCATATCTCAATTTGAAAGGTGTTTCACTTATACCAATGTATGATTTTCTTTTATTGAAGAGTTATCCAAAGTGATAGTTGCTTGTTATACAATGTTGTTGGTCAAGCAATGTATATACATATACATAAATATATATATATATATATATATATATATATATATATATATATATATATATATATATATATATATATATATATATATATATATATATAGTATCGGACAAAACAAGTGCAACCAAATAATGCTAATTTAGTTTCTTTATATAAAAGTGCTGCACTTTTTCAATTTAGAGAAATAACTATGTAATTGTTTAGAGACAACGTTCTTCAAGTTTTATTCATCTCAAAGTTCATTATTTGTACACGAAATTAATAAATTAATCATGCAGTAATATAACATCTTTCAGGATATTTTTATACATGAAATGGTTCATTATTCCATCAATTTGATGTATTGGACCTAGACCGTTAGCAGAAAAAACGAGCCATTTCTTACCACAAATAGTATGTTTAGGTGTCAATTCAAGATAAATAGAATTTCGTTGAGAAAACAAAAAGACAATGTTTGAATTAAATAAGTTTGATCTTTAATGTTTTTTTATTATAGAAACGCTTTTTAATGAAGTAACAAAACATTTCTAATGAATTTTTATATTAGGTATTAATAAACTGTTGTTTTTTTTACTTATATAATTATGTATTTTTTATGATAAATGTTAATCTTTTAAAACGTAATAAAAAATACAAAAAAAAGTACAAATGTTAAAACAAAGAATGAATTGGTTTTTTAATGCGTAAATTAAATAAACTAAGCATTTTAGTTTTTTGTGTGTGTGTGTTTTTGCTTTAGTCAAGTTTTTTTTTGTTTTTTTTTTATATATATCTTTCGTTAAGATTTTTTTTTAGATTAGATTTTTTAGAAGTGTTTGTAACTCATTTTTAAATTTTGAAAACATGTCAAAAGTTGTGTTCAAATCGTAAAAAGAAAGTATTTTTTGCGTGGTCATAGAATTGCACGTCTTCTTGTGAAAGTGTAAATTATTTTTTATATTAAAATTTACTTTTATGTTTATATTTAAGGCAATTTAAATAAATGAAATTTAAACTATTAAAACATTTTAGTGTCAGCCATAAATAGAAAAAGCACATGGCATTAAATATGAAAACATGTGAAAAATTTCTCAATTTTTTAGTTATATATAATGCACTATAGTCTCGCATAGTTTTACTGAAATTGACCTAGTATAGGTTTGAAAATGACCTAATATAGATTCGGCTACTTTTTTATTTTCCACTAACAAATAACATTTTTAACAAATAACATTTTGATTTTTTGTAAATTACACTATGCAGCGGCGTACCCTCTGTGTAAACTTTTTTCCCAGTGAAACAGTTTGTATTTCTTATTTGAGTCGTCTGCTAAGATAATTAGTAGTCCAGTGTAAAAGTTTTTTTTTTGTATTTTTTTGGGTGAAAATAATGAAGAAAAAGTTAAACGTCTGACTACTATAATACATATAATAAGAGACATTTACTTAAAAGTAAATTAATTTATTTATTATTTAAATTAATTAAAGATGTGTTGTCATTTTTGTCGTAGTCGATATCTGTTTCATATTGTTTGTTTTTGTCAATCTTTTTTGTCAAAGGTTTCATTACGTGAAGCAAAAATGTTGAAAGCCAAAACTCCAAAGAAACATTTTATATATAGAAAATAATTATGTTATTCTCTCTCAATCTTCAATCAAATTTAGTTTAGTTAAATGTTTAAAACATTATGTTTTTAATGTTTTGAACATTTTTTGTTATGCTAAGACTTTTTTTTAAGAAAAAAAAAAATTTCCAGTTGCATCATTAATTGCGTTCTAATAATGATTTTTCATGTGCATCCTAATGTTTTTTATTTTGTTAATTGTGTTTGTCAAAGTTAAAATAAAAATTATTTTACTAATGATAAACAAGAGATTCAGTGTTATGGTTCAGCATTCACATCATTCAAAATGCAACTATAAGATAACTGTAAAATACGAATAGCATTTGGAAATGAAAAAAAATGTAATTTTAAAACTTATTTTAAAATGAGAAAAAGCGTGCTTCAAAATGCAACAACAATGTTTAAAAAACAGTACAGCTACGAAGTTTTAAATTGCATGTCGGCTTCTATAAAGTTTGGTAAAGTTATATAACGCACTGCAGTGTGCTTATTGTTAAATGAAGTTTCTTTTAAATAAAATCTTTATAGATCAAAATATGGTTTTGTTAATAAACATACTTTTGTAAGTAACAAACTGTCTGGTTGTTCTGACAGGCATTTTTTAAAAATTTTAGATGCCCTTGGAGAAAATGAGTCATCCTGTGCCACTGGACGACCATGAGAGTACAACCCTGTAACACAATTTTTATTCCTGGTTTCTAAGTGTTATATTTCAAATGCTTATTTCTGAAATATGTGAAAAAAATTACTTCATTAAGCACAATTTTTGCCTACACAACAACGGCATGAAGAAAACTCGTTTTTTTGTCAAAATAGAACAATTTTTTTCATTTTTGTCAATATAATTAGGTAGAAATGAAAACTGCACAAGAAATAGACAAACACAGTTAGAAACCACTCAACAAGGTTCAGAAATGTTTATATTTTCTAAATTTATGATTGTACTGTGAATCATTCTCTCGAAGTAGCCCCCAAATATAGTCCCCCATCTTGTTTTCGTTATACTGTCCTCGGTAAGTAGTTGGTAAGTAAATTTTGACAAAAGCGCTTGATTCGTTTCTCGGAGTAAGCGCTCATGTTCGCCCTAAATTTTTGATAATGTGAGTCAAGGGTATGGACTTTCAAAGACATTCAGCATCCCATTTAGGCATAATTCATGGTCTACTATAATAACACGGCCAGGTTTGTTGGTTTTTACGGCAAAAAATTAGAAGGCCAGTTTTATTTGTTGTAATAAACAATATTTTTAAACAGAAGGCTTCGATTTTCTTGTTATATATAATATTTTTTGATTATTTATGAATTTTATGAGTTTAATTATGAGGAACTTATTAATTTTGATGCTTTAAATTTTAATTAAGTAATAATATGAATACAGTATTTAAATACATTTACACACTGTAAATATGATACATTTATAACTTGTTTATGCACTTGAGATATGATTATTTTTATTATGTTTCAAAAAAGTAAGAAATATTTTTATTTTCATACCTAGAATTCTTAATACAATGCCAAACAATTGTGTAGTGATATACTGTTGCAATGGATACAAAAGTAAATCATCAAATACAAATGTGAATCCTCTAAAATTAACTTCAGAACCAACTATTTATAACAATGAAAATAGTATTTTTGCGTTTCCTGATGCTGTAAAAAGACCTGAATTAAGAAAAAAATAGATTAAGTTTGTTAGTAGAAATTGGTTTCCTACAGAGCATTTCTGTGTTTGTAGTGTACACAAAATTTCTAAAGCATAGTGTTAGAATGACTTATTTATAATCTTAATCCAATACAAACAATTTATTCAAATGAAAAAAAATTCCACCTTCTCTGTTATTATCTTTTCCATCAAGAAAATCTCCCGGTGTGTCACAAGTATTCAAGTTGAATCAGATATTTTTATGTAAAAAGGTTCTATCAAAGTCCTAAATAAGTTAGATTCATCTTCAAGTCCTTTTAGCTTTATTTTCCAAATATTTGACTCCCATGTTTTTTTTAGATTGTATTTTTAATGTGGCATCTGTTGATAATGCTTGCTGTTTTGAATCAATACAAGTTGATTCTACTTTGCATGTAAAGTTGCATCACAATGGATGTCAAATTCCGCTTCCAAAGTGGTTTAAGCAAAACCAATATTTACTTTAGAATGTTAGCATATTTAAAGTAAATATTATATATGATGCAAATTCCAAGAAATGATGCAAATTCCAGGAAATGATAAGCAAAGTGTTCCTCTTGCTCTGAATGTTTTTCATGCAACTACGTCAGCTGCAACTACGTCAGCTGCAACTACGTCAGCTGCAACTACGTCAGCTGCAACTACGTCAGCTGCAACTACGTCAGCTGCCATTAAAAGTTATTTTCCACAAGATTTATCTGCAGCTGAATTTTTACACCTTATTAATAGTTGGTGGTTAAAATCGAATTCAAAGTCAAAATATTCAAATAACTGTATTGGTTATGCAGTTGTGAGGGAAGATAAAAAAAACTAAGTTCTTACGTTGTTTTTCGAAGTGGATTAATAAATGGCAAATAATACAGTTAAAAGTGTGTGGAAAGTTTACTCTTAGCAAACAAACAGCAAATGCTATGATAAAAACATTAAAAAGTTTTGCTGATTTGTGTGATGATTTACTTAATGAAGGTTATACTTACATTTTAACATATCGTTTCCAAAGTGACCCTCTAGAACGTAGATTTTCAAATTATTCACAAATGAGTATAGGTCGTTTTCTTGTTGGTTTGCATCTTCCAAGAAGATACTTCAAATTAAATCTCTAATGAAATAAGATATGTTGCTGGGAGTTAAATATTAAACCAGAGTCCAGTCGAGATCTTTTACATGAAATCGATTTTGAAAACGATTTTCAAGAGATTGATTTAGACAATGACAGCAACAAGGTGGCAAGCTACATTGCAAAATTTATTAAGAAAAAAGTCTCTAAAAAATTTGTTTGTTCTAAATGTGAAGCTTTATTAAATTTTAAGGTCGCCATTCGTATTGAGTATACAAATTTGCTCTCTAGATGGGGGGTTCAATTACCTGGGAAATATCTTGCATCATAGTATTGATTTAAACTAGATTTAACTCAAAAAAAATTGTTTTTAAATGCTGATAGTATCAGATATGCTGCAAGAAAGTTTTTAAATCTTGGAGAAGAAGCGATCTTCATGTGTCCTCAATATTTTAATAATGCTGTAATATTTATTAATGATATAATTATAAACATATACTTTAACAATAAGCAAATGATTATTAATGGTAGAAAAAGAAAAGAAGAGATTGTTGCTGTTGATTCCAAAAGAACCAAAGGAAAGCATAATCTATTTGTTGTTGTTAATTTCACAGTATTTAAAAATTTTATTGTGATTTTATGAATGTTTATATTACTTTAAATAAAAAAGAATTTTAAACGATTGTTTATTTTAATAATTTATATTTTTATTATTCCAGTGTTTTCTATAAAAAATTCTATAATTTTTTTTAAAAAAAACTGTCTTCCTAATTTTTTGCCTTAAAAACCAACAAACCTGATTGTGTAATTATAGTAGGCCATGTGTAATTCTTTAAGAGAGTCTGCACCAATTAGTTTTCAGTTTTGTGATTATCTAGAAAGTCCCGAACAACTGCAACAAAACTGCTTCAAGCCACTCTCTCCATTCTGCTCAACAGCTTTGCAAAATCTTCACATTCTATGACTATCAGCCCTGACCTTTGTCTTGGACAGCTTTGGAAAAAGTTCTTGTAGGTATTGAAATGCTGCTGACTCCTTGTCAAGAGCAGTGACAAATTGATTAATAAGGTCAACTTGATGTGCAGTGGTGGCATAAGCACTTAATTAGGTTCTATCAGCGGCTCCAACTTTACGTTGCCCTTCCTAACAGAAAATTTGGTCCATCACGGCCTGTCCTCTGTGTGATAATGTGCCTTAGTGTCACAGCTGTCCTAGAGACAGAGGAAACAAGGAGATTTGACTTGTACACTATTATCAGCCAAGTTCTGCTGTTTGAGCTTGGATATCAGAAGCTCAGCATTCAATTTACTAAGCCCGAGGTCCCTAATTAAATTGTTTACCTTTTTCTGGTTAGGAAAGTACAGCTTTCTGTATCTGCCTTGCTATCTGACTGTGCTGTGTGGTACTGGGGCTATTTGAGGGCCATTTTTGCTGGTGGGAAGATTTTTTTGGTTTAGCATGCAGAAGTAGCATTTGCTTAAGTGGTTCGTAGGCTCTTGACAAATTTGCAGGTAGCAAACTTCATGGCTCGCTTCTCTATTCTGTACCCATCTGTAACTTGAAGTCATAATGTATTAACAACACATTTATATAACATTTTTATATAAATAATCCACTCATTAGACAATTGTTTTTTTGTTTACAATTACAATTTTCTGTTACTTTTTCATTTAAAATTTCTTTTTTGTATAACAAAACATTATTGTTACCTTTTATAATGCAAATGAATACTTTCATGTAGCTAGAACATGTGTACATTCATGTAGCCTTGGCATGTATACATTTATTCAGCTTCAACATGTATACATTCATTCAACTTCAACATGTATTCATTCATGTAGCCTTATCATGTATGCAACTTCAACATGTATACATTTATGCAACTTCATCATGTATACTTTCATGTAACTTTAACATGCATACATTTTTTTATAATAGTAAAATATTTTAAAAAATAAGTTAATTGTTCTAAATTTATATACTCTGATGACATAATTATTTTTAGATACAAAGTTTTCAACTATTGGAATTATTTGTGGATTTTTGGTCATTATCTTTATTTTTCTGATTATTATATATTTCTACAAAAGATACACAAACAAAAAGTTTGCATTATTTATGGAACCAAATCCAAAATTTAAGGTAAACATTTTCAAATTATATGCATAGTAGTTTTTTAAATTTTTATTTTTTAATTTAAAGTATTATCTTTATAAATTTATTTTAAAAATAAATGTATAAAGATTTATTTTTAAATTTTTATTTGTTTTGAAATTTGTGCTATAATTAATTGTTACAAAATGTTATAATTAAATATTATGAAGTTAATTATTAATTAATTATTAAGTTTAATAAATTGTGCTATATCTAATTATTATGAAATCATAGTTGCTGCAAAATCTATTAGTTTGTAAGTTTATATTTTGTTTACGCAAATAAATTTTGTTTATATCCCTTTTTTTATTTATTTTTGTTAACTTATCAACTTAGTACCATTACTTTTTTTTATCACTACACTTATTACTACTTATGCTTTGTTAGAAAAATTTGATTAACCTTCGAGCGGGTGCATTGATGTAAAATTTACTGCAAAATTTGTATTTTTTTAATGAATTGTTTGCACACTTTCATTTTTAAGAATAATCAGTACCTATTCCTAGAACAATGTTTATAAGTTGTATAGGTACGCATTATTTCCTTTTGTAACACAACATTTGCTTTACACTGAGTTATATGTGAATGGATATGCTAGGAATAAAGTTTACAGCGTGCGTCTACTAGTGTAATTTTGTTTATTTTTTATGTAACCAGTTTTTATATGTATCTTTTCATATTGTGAATCAAAAACTACTTTTTATAGCCTTCTGAATATAGATGGAATAAATTTACAGTTTTTATATTCATTTGCTAACCAATCAAATAAAAAAATATACAGAAGGTTATTTTTGAAAAACTTGGCAATTCCTTTTATGAAAGAGCATCTGACATTTTAAGCAAACCTTCAGAAATTGCTATCAGATGTGAGACATTTTTGAAAATAAATTGTATGTGTTGATTGTGCGAATATAAATAGTGATTTCAATTCTGATTTAAAAAAACATTGTTTTTTCTTGTGTTTTCTTTTTATAAATAGTTTTTTTTTATTTATTTATAGTTTTGCAAATAAAATACTTTAGTAAACTCATTGATATATTGCTTTTTTTTTAATTACTAATAGTTATGCAATTTTATATCAATATAAAGTCGTGAAAATTTGCTAAAAGCTCTATGACGTAAAATTTACAGCGCTTACCTGTTCTTGTTAAAATAAAATGCACACCCACTCAAAGGTTAATTTAATAAGTTAACCATATTTTTAATGCTTTATCTTATTATTTTGTTAGCTTTTCTAAGCTAAAAAAATGTTTTAGCTTAGAAATGGTTTTTTAGCTAAATTTTTATAAATTGTATATATATTTGCTTCACATTTTTTTGTAAACGAATTGTTTGTTGATTTTTTTAGCTTGATCCATCTCGTACAATTTTTGAACAAAGCATTGAACTTCCTTATGACCTATCCTGGGAATTTCCTCGTCATCGATTAGATTTTGTACGTGTAATTGGATCAGGTGCATTTGGCCAGGTATGGTTTGCACATGCACGTGGCATTTTAGCTTTGTGTCCACGTGATAAATCTGCTTCAGCTGCTCGCCAAAGGGCCAAACTATATTTTAATACAAAAGTTCCTAAAAGTTTAACAAAATTGTTTACCAATGGTAGCATGTGTGACCACGATACATTTGTAGCAGTTAAAACATTAAAATGTATTTTTATTTAAGTTTAAGTTAAAAATATGTTGTTGTGTTTGTTTTTTCAATTTGTTTTTATTTTTTATGCAATTTTAGCATCAGCATCAGACGTGGAGTATAGAGATCTTTCATCTGAAATAAAGGTTCTTATACATTTGGGGGAGCATCCAAACATTGTAAATTTATTAGGGTCGTGCACAAAAGATGGACGCTTATGTGCTATTATGGAATATTGTCCTCATGGGAATCTAGTTGGATTTCTTCGACCACGTCGTCATGTTTTTTCATTACAATGGGAAAAGCAAGCTTTAAATTATGATGAAGATTTCTGTTGGTTGGATGCTGCAACTGCTGCATTTCAAATTGCAAGTGGAATGTTGTTTTTATCGGAAAAAAAGGTTGGTTTTATTTTTTTAATCTAAAAGAAACCAAATACAACAGGATAAACACAAATTAGGAACTGGGAACAAGTAAACTAATTTTTAGTTTAATATGTTTGAAAAGAAATATCTTGGAAATCATAAAAATTTAGAAAATATAATTAGCCAATTTTTTAGCAAGCTTTTGCTTAAGAAAAATTAAAAGTTCGAGTATTTTTCACAGATACTACTAAAATATCAAGACAACTCCGATTAATACCAAGACCAAGACAACCTCTTGACAACTCCGATGTGATTTTGAGGACTCAAAGTTTAATACGCTTAAAAATAATTTATTAAAGTTTAAATGAAAATAATGGTTTTGATATTAACGGTGTTCATACTAATATTAACAATTCTAATAGTAATGGTTTTTCAGAGTTATTTTTTGTTTTATATTGAACAATATCTTCATATCTCATAACTCATCAAAATAATGTCAGTTTATAATGAAAAAATCTTATAAAACCTTCAACTAATTTGAATTTTAATATGCGGTAGTGGTGTATTGGTAGAGTGTTCGCCTCATAAAGAGACGTTCCGATCCCAACCACATCCTTGGTAGTACCGGGCTCAACTTGTTTCTCCACGCAGCGTTCTTGTTTGTCTAGGTTCGTGTTTCAGAATTAGAGAGTTGAGAGAGGGTTGTAGCCACAACTCGAAAATAGTGGTCTTCATGGGTTTTGGTGAACTAAAATAAAAAAATAAAAAAAATTGAAACCATTTAAACTATTATTTAAATCATTTTATTTATCATTTATTAATCTTTAAAGATTACTATTTATTAAATACAAATATTTTAAAATTCCAACAAATAAAAAAAAACAGACAAAAATGTGTGTAATCTATTGTAATGTAATATAATTTTTATGTAAAATAATTGTAATCATACATCATATATTAAACTAATGTGATCTAACTTTTGTGTTAAAACAATGATTTTTTTCAATTAACCATTTCAACCATTGTTTTAATTATGTGCAAAACTTTCTAACTTTGCGGTTAATCAATGTTTAATGAACTTTTTCTGATGAGGTAGCCAATTTTGATATACCCTTGAAAAAATAATTTAAAATGGTAGAAACAACTGTGTTGATAATTGACACTTTTAAATTGAAAGGTAGAGTTGTATACAAAAATATCAAAAATTTAGAAATGTATTTAACACACTGGAACTGCATCTCTGCATTAGGTCATAAAATAAAAGTGAATTTGAATATCTGACATATTGAAATAGATGCTCAGTAGGGGACATAGTCGGCCACAAGAAAGAGTAAAGTCAGATGCGTTGGTAGCATAGGTACTAGATATGGGTATATTTGGTGAAAATTTATGCTTGGTGTAACCCAAAATATAATATAGGGCAGCATTTTCCTCTTTGAAAGTTGCATCAATTGAAGAGACACAAAAAGATAATTAATGTCATCCTCATCCAGTGTTAATTGACAACACTCTGATTGTATAATTGAACATTGAGAAATAGGTAAACCCATAGCATCCAGTTTACTGAACAACTTCAGTCGTTGTAAATGCAGACTGTTTTTAACTTTATCTACTGAAGCATGAAAATCACAAAGTTACCTGTCATATAGAAATCTAAACTTTATTTAATTTAAATTTTATTTAAAGTTACATACAAAAGTTGGTGTTTTTAAATGTAATATTAATATCAACCTGATCAAATGCAAGAAAGTATTTAACTACCTTTATATTCAAAGTTCACCTTTTAATCAATCTGTTTGAAATTTTTCATGAGGAACATATAGATGATCTTCCGTCAACAATTTTCTAATTAAATTTTTAACCCCATAAAGTGTGTTCAAAAGTATTTTTAGTTTGGTTTGTGAATGACTTTTTACGCTTCCAGTCTTTCCTCCAGGCAGTGCTGAAACAGTTTCAGCAAATGTTAACATTTCTTGATATTTTTAAAGCTTTTGATAAAGTTTAGCATGCTGGTTATCTCCATAAGGTTTCTTTTATGGTTTATCAGGAAACATCTTTAAGATTATTGAATCCTTCCTTGCCAATCGTAGTATAAAAGTTGTCATCAATGGACAGCACTCTTCAACATATCCTGTAACTTCAGGGGTTTCTCAAGGTTTTATCCTTAGCCCTAGACTTTTTAATTTACATTAACAATCTTCTGGATATTTTCACATCTAAGGTGGCATTGTTTGCTGATGATGCTACCATTTATTCTTGTCTTGATAAGAAAACGAACCTCTCTGATTGCTTGGAGGGGACATTTGAGCTTGAAAAGGATCTCATTTCTGCTACAGCATGAGGCTCACAATGGCTGGTGAACTTAGATTCAGATAAAACCCAATTTTTTTCAGCCAGTTGTTACTGCAGTAATTTAGATCTTCTTATATTTATAAGCAGTGATGTACTTGAGAAGTCATCTACCCTTCATCTTTTAGGATTAATTCTTACTTCCCATCTTTCTTGGAAACCATATATCAAATCCATTTCAAAATTAGCATCTGCTAAAGTAGCATCTTTTTATCCTGCTTGCTACTTTATTACTCCTGATGCTAGTCTTTATCTTTATAGATCTCAAATCCGTCCTTGTATGGAATACTGTTGCCATATCTTCAGCGGATCTTCCAATGATTCTCTTTCTCTTTTAGACAAGGTGCAAAAACGCATTGTAAACATAGTTGGACCTGCTCTTGCAGCCAACCTATAACCATTATCACATTGTCGTAATGTTGCTTTTCTTTCTCTCTTCTATAAATTCTGTAATGGGTACTGCTCTCAAGAGCTAGCATTTCTTGTGCCATCTACTAAAATTCATTCTCCTGTTACTGGTCATTCAATTAAGTCTCATCCTTTTACTGTGGCTGTTCCTAAGTGCTCAAAAAATTCTTATTCCTCTAGTTTTTTTCCTCGAACATCAGTTCTTTGGAATTTCTACCTTCCTCTTATTTTCTTGATTCATATAATTTGTAATCTTTTAGGTTGTCTGTTAATCATTATCTTGCATTATAAATTTCATTATTTTGCAACTTTAATAGTGGTTGCTTTGCAGCCTTCTTATATATATATATATATATATATATATATATATATATATATATATATATATATATATATATATATATATATATATATATATATATATATATATATATATATATATATATATAATTACCTAATTGGTTTTATTTTATTTAAAGTGATCAAAATAAAAACACTTTTTACTTTTTTTAGGTTTTTTAGGGTTTTAATAATTGGGTTTTATAGCACCTCCTCTATAGCATATATACTCTGAAAAAATATCAAAAATCAACCTTTTTTGTCATTGTCATAATAACAGTTTCAGTTTTTGGGAAAACAACAGTGGTTGAGTGATAAATTAACTATTTAAGAGATTTTTGTTAGTCTAAACAAAAAAGTTCTCTAAGTGAAAAGCAATTTAATTTGGGCGTACTCTGAAGGACAAAAGTATATATAGACTTGACTTAATTTGTTTTTTTAGCAAGTTATGGATAAGTGATGGTCTTTGCAAACCGCTGGTAAATCTGTTTTAAAAACAACTCTGAACAAAAAAAACTTGACAAAAAAAACACTCAATGCAATAACACTTAACAAAACAATAATATTGGTCTTGGGTCTGAAGCCACACCAGAGGATTCAGCCTTGGGTTCGAAGCCACATTCGAGGCTTCAGCCTTGGGGAGGTGAATTTAAAAAAAAAAAATTTCATTGAATTTTGTTAAAGTTTTTTATTATAGTATTAAAGTTTTATATCATTAATTCTATTTTTCTTTCCAAAAAGAAAAACAATAGCAAATCAAAGAAAAGAAAAGTTTTTATAATCAATTTAGAAATATTTATTTCTACATTTATAAAAACATAGGTTCATAGGTTCTACCAAATTATTTTATAAAGTTGTTTCATTCTCCATCCTATAATCTATTTTTTGCAAATTTCTTTCCATTTGAAATGACAATGAATTTATAATATTTGGAAAAATTAAAAGGTCTACTGAGGTAGATTTTTAATAAAATTTTTTGAAATTTTGATAATAAACAAGCAAAAGGTTGACAGAGACTTTAAAAGCTGTAAATTGTATAAGTCATGAAAAATGAAAATTGGAGATAATTTTAAAGCATTGATATATGAAGGAAAAAAACTTGGTTTACTTTTTACTGCACTTTTTACAGTTGCAGTAAAAAGTTATGGATATGCTAAATAAAGAGCTTTATTTGATGGAACAAAAGATGATAGCTTGCTGATAATGTGCTAGACGCTCAAGTTTGGCAGCTAGAGCAGTTCCAACTACATTTGCCTAACAATGCCTTTTTAGAACTTGTCTACAAAAGAGTAATCATCATTAGAAGAACCAGCTCAAATATAAAAAATATATATTCTATACAAGAGCGAGTTTAAGATCAGAGAATAAAATATGAATTGGTAGCTATGATAAAGAGAAGCAGATGCTAACTTTTATAAAGGTTTTTATATATGGTTTCTATGAGAGGTTAATATTTCAAAATAGTCCACGAAGACATAAAGTAGAGGACTCTGTAAAACTTAGTTGTTATTTATCAATATATGAATATCAATAGCATTGCAAGTTTTATTAGCAGTAAATAACTTATAATTTATTTTTGAGTAAAAGTTCATCAGCTACTGCGAATCCTAAGCTTTCTCTGAAAAGATATAGCATTTAATATATTCTGCCTGTATAATATATGCAAAGACCATTGTATACTATGGTCTTTGCATCACTGCTTTCATGATGCACGATAGAACCTTACTTTTATAAATAACAAGTCAGTGCTAGATTCAAATCAGGAAGATTCAAATCTGTATTCGTTTTCAGAGAATAAAAAAGAGGTAAAAGTTTTGTTAAAATTATAGAATGATCTAAACCATCTAAAAAAATAAAGCTAGGGTCAGAGATCAGACACAAATCAATGGTAAAGATAAGTGATTGCGGTTACTTGGAAAATAGGTTAGAAAGTTTATTAAATGAGAAAAAAGATTTAGACAATTTTAAGCTTTAATTCCGGCAGGGTTGATGGTACTAGAGAAGTCATAGTATTAGAAGTCGCTAATAACAACAATAACAGCATAAAAATATATATTAAAAGTATATGTTTGTTTGGGAATTTGTTTAGGTGGCATTTAGTAGCATTGATTTTGTCTAAAGGATCTTTTTTTGCTCTCCATAAAATCAACCTAAATGAATTATCATTTTTGATTCAACTAATTTAAAAATAAATAAAAATGATATCTTTTCCTTTGATGATTTTTTTTTTTTAATAGCTTGTTCACAGAGACTTAGCTGCTCGCAACGTGTTGGTTGGTCCAGATTATATTATGAAGTTAGCAGATTTTGGATTAGCCAGAGATATTTATTTAAGCGGTGTTTATATTAAGGAAAGTTGTGGTATTTTACCTGTAAAATGGATGGCTCCAGAATCACTATTTGATAAAGTTTATACAATTAAAAGTGACGTGTATGTAAACTATCTTTATATTTTGTTATAATCTTTATAAGATTTTATATTTTGTTATAATAAAAAGTAATATGTTAGTAAAGCTTTATAAATGTTAATTTTTTTACGATTCTAGATGGTCGTTTGGTATTGTTTTATGGGAAATATGTACGATGGGTGGTTCTCCTTACCCTGGGCTGCCCACTGAAGATTTGTTTGAATATCTTACTGCGGGAAAGCGCATGTGTCAACCTGTCACATGTCCAGACGAACTTTATGAAATCATGCTTCAATGCTGGCAAGAACGACCTGAAGAAAGACCTTGGTTTCATGAGATTGTTTCACAATTGCAGAGAATCATTGAATCCAAAAATGAGGTAAAAACATTGTTAACGCGCATTTAGTCAATACTTTTTTTTTTTTTTTTTAATTTTTTTGAAAATGTTTTTTTAAGCCTCCTAATAACCTTTCTGCATTTGATCGCATCCAAAGCGTTTCTGACGAAACTGATTGTTTGGTTCCGTTATCTCCTTTAAAAAAGAAAAAATCAACGGATGTTATATTTACAAAGAAAGAGTAAGGATACTTGTAAATAATAGCTTTAATATAAATTTAAGTAACAAATAAAAACAAATAAATTTAAGTAACAAATAAAAACAAATAAAAACAAATTGAGCATGCCAGCTTAAGTTCTCGTCAGTTATGAAATAAGAAAGAAATAATTTTATTTTGATCCTTATTTCTTATAGAACCGTAGTCTAGAGTTATCTAATATAATAAGTTTTATAGAACCAAAAAACTGCCAAAACAGTTGTATTAAGAACAAGTAAGTATACAATTATAAAACAAAATTTGAACATACATGACAATAACTTTAACAATTACCAAACTTTAAATTAAATTTAAACTCAAAAATATATCATATCGAACTTTTTGAATTTAATTCTTAAATGAACTTTATCTTTTTATAGCTCATTAAAAACTAAAATTGACTGCGTGTTCAATTTTCCGCCTATTGAAGATAACAGCGATAAAAATGGCAACAGTGTTAACAAAGAACAATTGAATACAACCAATGAAACCGGATATATTGGTCTTCGAATAGAATCTGCTGTATCGGAAAATGTGTAAATTTTTGAAAATTTTCTTTGTAACGCTATTTAATATTTTGCTGGTAGAGTTAGTGTGCGTTGAGAAGGAAATTTTTATATTACATAGCTTTGATTTCAAAAAGCAAAAACCAACGCTGTCTCCATAAACTACTGGTTGGTTTACGATATTTTATATATTACGCAATAATCTTTTTTTAAATTTCTTATATATTTATGTGTTGATATTTATATGTATATAATTAAGTTTTTTAAATAATTTTTACTAAAAAGGTATCGAGAAAGATTTTATATTGAATTTTGTATATATTTTTCTGAAGTTTTAACAAACGTGCAACTGATTGGAAGTTATAAATTCATTAAAACTTTTATGAATATGTTTGTTTTTTGAATATTTTGTTAATTCTAATAACTAAACAAAATTTAACTTTTTTTCATTTAGGTTTTTTTTTTTTTTTTTTTTTTTTTTTTTGTATAGTTTTTATTTTCTAATCTTTGCTGTTTTTATTATACTTCCTTTTTATTTATAACCTTAAAGGTGCTAACCAAAAAACGATTTTTTATTTGAATTTTTTCTTTTATGAAAAATGACGAATAATTTTTTTGAGAAATTTATATTTTGAAAAATTTTTATACTTTGTTAATAATCCTTTTGAAAAGTAAAATTATTAACTTTTTTTTTATTTGTTTTCAAAAACCTCAAATGAATTCGATAGAAACATGATATTTTCATCTTTCTAAATTTAAAATTTAAAAAGATATAATTTTATTTTATATTACAAGTTAAACGTAAGCATGCGTCAAATTTTTAAAAGAATTAAAGAATTATGCGTTCAACGCACTGATCTCAAAATATAACTGATAGCGGATTCTATCGTTTTTTCCGAAAAAAGTTGAAGCCAAAATTGGCCTCCCAAGATGGCGGCGATTTAAGTTTCTAGCGATGAAAGCAATATTGATTTTACATAGCTTTATCAAACTACGATAGAAAATAATTAAATAAGGCTAATAAATTTGTTAAAAATAAAAGAAAACAAATGAATTTTATAAATAGTAGAGAAAAAAAGAAATTATTTTTTGAATAATTCAATTTATTTATGGCATTTACGATTATAGTTACGTTTTGTGTATAATTTATGTACCTTTTAGTTCTTAGTTACCCAATCCTGTATGCTAGAAGGTTAATAACATAACAGCATGGTAAGCAACAATCATCTCTACCTACAATTTTATATTATCTATTTTTTGTAGCAAGATACCATTTTGTACAAATGCTGCATAAACTATTAACTGAGTGCTGTCAGTATACAGGGGTATACAAACTCAGGGGTTCCTTCTAGAATTATATTATAATTCTATTATTGCTTTGATTTCATATATTGCCAGATATTTAGTTAAAATGGCATCAAAAAAAATATCTGCATTAAATTACATATTTTTTCAAATACAAACAAGGCTTCTAAAAGAAGATCACAATGATCTTATTGTCAGAAGCCTTTTACAAAAGAGTACTTAACATATTATAAAAACTCCTTTTTACAATAAAAGTGCGTAAAAATCATATAAAATCAATAAATCGTGTTTGCATAAATGAAAATAAATTGTAAACAAGTATAAAACAAAATTTGAACATACATGACAATAACTTGAACATTCATGACAATAAAAATTATTATTATCACAAAATAAATTAAAAATATTCTAAGATATTTTGAAACTTTCGTGCAAACATAGTTAATATGATGTTTCCATGTGATGTTCTCGTCAATAAAAAAATATATATATATGTATATATATATATATATATATATATATATATATATATATATATTAGTTAAGTACAACCAAATAAAAAATAAAGTACATATAATAATATATAAAAAAAATTCTAGAAGGAACCCCTGAGTTGTGTGTACTCACAGAGCTCAGCTAACAGTTCATGCAGTATTTGTAAATTTATTTATTTGAAAAACTAATTTATAATAGCTTATTTTAAAAAGATATTCAGCTGCCTACCATGCAGTTGTGTTATTAACCTTCTAGCACACAGCATTGGGTAGTTAAGAACTAAAAGGTACATAAATTTGTAGAAAAAACAATAACAATTAATTTATTGTAAAACTTAAATTAAAAGAAAGTAAATAAATGAAATATAATTAAAGAATGATTAAAATTATTTCAGTTTTTCACAATTAAAATAATTATTAGAAAATTGTTTGGAAATTGTTAAATTAGATAACTACTAGGTTCATATTTGTTTTTTATTTCTACTGATATATATATGTATGTATATGTATATGTGTGTGTGTGTGTGTATATGTGTATGTATATATGTGTATATGTATGTGTGTATATATATATATATGTATATATGGATATATGTATATATATATATGTATGTGTGTATGTATATTTATGTGTGTACGTATATATGTATGTGTATTTGTGCGTATTATATGTATGTGTATATATATATATATATATATTGATGTGTAAGTATATTTATTTACATGTTTGTATGTTTAAATATGTATAAATAATTATATTTGTATTTATGTGTGAATATTTGTCTATGAATTATTAAAGGATTATTTATTATTTAAAAACTGTTTAGGCGGTTCTCGATGACAAGATCTTATGATCTTCTGCGAGTATCCGCGTTCTTGTTGTAACGTTAACAAAATTGTAATTCTGACTATACGTATTTTATTCATTCTTATATTGTAAAACTTATTTTGAATAAATAAAAAGAACAAAAAAAAAAAAAAAAAAAAAAAAAAAAAAAAAAAAAAAAATGTTAAATAAATTAATTTTTAATTAATTTAACAAAAAAATTTTTATCTTATTTAATTAAATTTATATATATATATATATCTACTCTTTAACAACACTCTTAATAAGAGTATTGCTAAACAAAATATTATATATATTTTAGAAATTTACCTAAATATGTAATATTGTGTTTCTTTCTAAAATAATTGCTATGCAAAACCGAAAATTGTATTTTTTTTTTTGAGGCTTATACATTTATTTTTATATAAAAAAATATAAAGTTCGTAACAAAAATTTCTAAATTTGTAATCAACCAAATACGCCGCCATCTTGGGAGGCCAAAATTGGCTTCAAAAAATTTGCCGTATACGCTATCCAGTTATATTTTGAGATCAGTGGTTCAACGTCAAAACTTTGTTAGAGACTACACCTTTTCAAGATGTAAATGAGAACATGAAAGTTGTAATTAAGAAGTCGTAATATGTAATTAAGAAACACAACATGTAATTGAGAAAACGTTATATGTAATTGAGAAACACAACATGTAAATAAGAAGTCGTAACATGTAATTAAGAAACACAACATGTAATTGAGAAAACGTAAGATATAATTGAGAAATCATAATATGTAATTGAGAAATCGTAACTTGTAATTGAGAACACATAAATTAAAATTGCAAATTCACAGTCTAAGTTTGTAGGTTGTTACAAAAGGTCTTTTTGGACATGAATTTAAGTTATAATCTTAAATTTTGCTTTTGTATGCACAAGTAATAATAATGGAATTGAAAGATCGTTGTGTTATATGCCAATACACTATGACCCGAATATCTGTGATTAAGCTAAATCCGTGTCAACATTTATGTCACCAAATTTAATTACGTCCAGTTCTGGAACAACCAGATTCAAGTTGTCCGATTTGTCGGCATGAAATACACACAACTGAACAAGTTGAAAGGAAACGTTACGTTTTATCTTCTCCAAATGACAGGAGTAGAGTTGTTGAATGTGCGGAGCGATTTGAAGATTGGGTGAATCTCGCGCAAACGCTAGGTATCAAATATAAGACAGCATACAATTGGGTTCGCAGCGGAAATTCAAATTTCATCGGAAAAGGAGGTTTTAAACCGAAAAAGTTGACCGAAAATCAAATTGAAGAAACATTAACATGGATTGAAAATGATTGTCAATTAACATTGGTGGCCGTCAAAACAAAGATATTAAGACAATTTAACATAAACGTTAGCACAACAACAATAGCAAATTACCTCGAAGGCAGATTGTTCTCATTAAAAAAAGTGCACAAGGAGCCTTCTACAATGAACAGTTATGAAAACAAACAAAAAAGAGCTGAATATGTTAGAAACATCAACGAACATATCACAAATGGTCGTCAGATAGTTTGGTTGAATGAAACAAATTTTAACCTTTTTTGTAGAAAAACGCAAGGACGCGCGAGACAAGGAAAAAGAGCAATTATGAAAGTACCTGCTTCAAAAGGTTTAAACATACACTTGATCGCAGCTATTTCAACTACAAATGTCGTCATGATAGAAACTCGCAGGGGATCATTTAAAGCAGATTCCTGTAACGAGTGGATGTTGGCTATGTTTCACCAGTGGGTTACATCCGGGAATCGTTTGGAGGATTTGGTCGTCGTAACAGATAATGCTCCTTGTCACGCTCGTTTGCAAAGGGTGTTTGATAATTCACCAGCTCAGTTGTTACGTTTGGGACCTTACAGTCCAATGTTGAACCCGGTGGAAACGATCTGGTCCAAAATTAAAAGTAACGTTAAAAATGCAATTCACATTCCACCTGTATTAGGTGAAGGGATTGCGGAACAGCGCATGCAGTACTTAGAACGAATTGTAATTGAGGCGAAAAATACTATAATGGGAGGAGATTGTGCACGTGCGGTACAACACACAACCACGCACTATGCAACTATTTTAAATATGGAAGACGTACAAGTTGGTGCTTAAATGATCAATGAAGTGATTTTTAATTATATAATTTTTAATTATAATTTTTAATTGAATTATAAATTTTTCTCTAAAATGTTTTTAGCGTTTATTATGTTAAATTCATTTGCCCAAAAATTATAAATTTTTCCCAAAATTTTTCCCTAAAAAATTAAATTTACGCTACAAATCTTGCGTCATTTTTAAGTGAGTCATTTTATACGCTCCATTTTTTTACGCGCCATTTTTTTTAAGCGCCATTTTACACTTACTCCTTTAAAGCGATATCTAAATTAAAATTTTCGTGTTCTCAATTACATCTTTCTATTTCTTAATTACAACTTACATTTTCTCAATTACATGTTACGATTCTTAATTAAAATTTTCGTTTTCTAAATTACATCTTATGTTTCTTAATTACAACTTACGTTTTCTCAATTACATCTTACGTTTCTTAATTACAACTTTTGTTTTCTCAATTACATCTTACGATTCTTAATTACAATTTTTGTTTTCTCAATTACATCTTGAAAAGGTGTAGACATGAATCAGAAAGTTTACTTAAATTGAATACTAAAGTTCCATTTTTACTCTGTTGAATTACAAATTAATTAGCCAACCACAAAGA